ACCATACTTATGTTGTTTATGCGTTGTTCTGTTTGAAAACCCTGGCTATCGCCAGTAATGTATAGTAGTTTTATTACTTAAACTAAAACTAGTCGAAAATGTATTGTTCTGTAAACTGAAAGTGTTATTAATACCCTCCTGTGATCACTTAGTACATATGGATTATAGAAATCTAAATCGAACAGACAGTCGATTGGGTGATTCTGCCCTAAGCCCACAACCAAACAAGGAACAGGGAATGAGGCGGAATTCACACATTCCACAGTCTATCGGATGTTAATTTCATATAACCCTGATGTATATACTAAGTAATCCCCTAGTTATTAACCCTGATGATTGATTTTTAAGTACATTATTACATGAACGAGTCTTTGTTTCCCCTGTGAGTTCTTATAACCATGCTAATGGACGATAACCAATACGACGTACTTCGGACGTCGAAAACTGAAATGACGTTTGTCACCCTCGGTTGACAGTAGCTAATAGTCAGGGTGCGGGATTGTCAGTCCCATATAGATCTATACACAAACTCACGCTCTCCCTCCAGGAGACTCTGGTTCCTAAGGAGTAGACTTCACAGAAGTCGTGTCTCACAATGTAGTTCTCTCGACGAATTCACGAATAATACTATGAAAAACTCCTTTTTGTTATTAACATGTATCTTAAGTGATTATGAAATTGTTCGTCATGATTAATAAGTTCTATGTTCCAATGTGTACTAATGATAAGAAAATATAATAAACCAAATTATATTTTTAAAGACCAATTTCTTGTGTTTTAGTTGTATTCCCCCCCTTTAAAACATTAAAAACTAGGAAAATATAGGGGTATGAACTCACATTATGTGGGCGATTCAATTGAAGACTCAAGTAAGGATGATAAGTTCCACAAATGAAGTCTCGAGGCACAACGAGTCCTAAATGACATATATTGATACATATTGGCATGTAATTAGTGAATCTAACTACAAAGGTGATTGGGAAACAACCTAGGATGCAAGAATAACTCACCAAAAGAGTGCTAGAAGTAAGTTAGGAGACTGAAAGGGTGTTCACGGCCCAATTGAAGGATAGTTCACGGCCCAATGGAGTTCACGGCCCAATTGATGAGTTGTTCACGGCCCATATGTGCTTCACGGCCCAAAGTGATGAAGGTTTCACGGCCCATATGTGCTTCACGGCCCAAGGTGATGAAGGGTTCACGGTCCTACTTGAAGAAGAACACTTGAAGATCTTTGAGATGATGAAGGAAGGTGATGAATCAATGATAGTTTGAAAGGGGTTTCTAAGTATACACAAGTAAGGGATGAGATACTTACGATTTTGAGGTGAAAAGAGAGTTTTTGTTGGATGAGTCTTGGGAGAGTCTTGAGGAGTTTTCCGCCAAGGAGGGAAGAAATGAGGAAAAATGAAGGAAACATATATATATATATATATATATATATATATATATATATATATATATGGAGAGGGGTTCACGGCCCAACATGGGTTGACGGTCGTGAACCTAGTTTGCAGCCGTGAACATCCCTAGATGATGTTTTCGGCTTGAATGTAACTCAAGAACTCAAGCTAACACTTCCTAACACACAATCCTTGAGTGTACTAGGCTTAGAAACTCTCAAACTGGCCATAATCACCGAAAAACGATAGCAGAAACAAGTTTGACTTCTTATTGATTGAGTTGACTTACAGATAGAGATTTCGGGTTGTCACAAAGGGAAAGAAGAACGAGAACACAACCGAAAAGATTTTAAGACTTTGTTGTCAACATGCCGCCATCGATAGACCCTACAAGAACCCCGCAAAATCATGACTCCTCTACGGTACACTGATAGGTAATTATGTTTCTTATGAAAATTTTTCTAATGAACATAAAGCTTTTTTGACAGCGATCAGCTCAAATAGTGAGCCATAATATTTCAAACAGGCGGGTTCAAAGTGAGAAATGGAGAGAGGCGATGCAAAATGAAATAAAGGCATTAGAAGAAAACAAGACATGGATTCTTCAAGAATTACCGAAAGGAAAGTATGACAATGACTCAAAGTGGGTATACAAGATAAAGTATAAACCCAATGGTGAAGTCGAAATATATAAGGCGCGACTGGTAGCTAAAGGTTTCACTCAACTGGAGGGAATTGATTTCCATGTTTGCTCATGTCGCCAAATTAGTTATTGTGCGGACTCTTCTTACTATAGCTACCAAGAAAGATAGGATCATATATCAATTTGATGTAAACAATGCATTTCTGCATGGGGGCCATAAAGAAGAATTTTACATGAAGGTGCCAGAAGGGTTCGCTAGAGAGGGGGGACCTAGAGTTTGTAGATTGAAGAAATCTATTTATGGCTTACGACAGGCCTCGCGCAATTGGTACCAAAAGTTCACCATGGCCTTATCTTCTTTGGGATACAAACCGACACTTGTTGATGCTTTGTTGTTTATATATGAAAAGGGTGATATTTATGTTGTTGCTCTTATATATGTCGATGATGTTATCATCACAGGAAACAATGCAACAAAAATCCAAGAGACAAAAGACTATCTTAACGACAACTTTAGTATCAAGGATTTTGGATCGTTGAAGTACTTCCTTGGAAGCGGCCAAAACACCATAAAGAATTGTCTTGAGTCAAAGAAAATACACTCTTGACATATTAAAGGATTGCGGTATGACGAGGTGTAAACCAAGTCCTTTCCGATAGAACAAAATCTCCAACTAGATAAATGTGAAGAGAGCCCTCGGATTGAAGCCAGTCAATACAAAAGATTGGTTGGCTGTTTATTATACTTACAAGCAACTAGACCTGACATTGCATATGTAGTTAATATGCTTAGTCGGTTTGTTGCAGATCCTAGACAAAGACATATGGAAATTGCCTCACGTGTACTTCGTTATCTCAAAGGGACTCTAGGTCAAGGTATTTTAATGCCTAGAATTGGAGGCACTGAATTAGTTGCCTATTGTAACTCGAATTGGTTAGGATGTGCTTTTACATGAAGGTCTCAAACAGGTTATCTAATTCTTTTGGGTGGGTCCCCAATCTCTTGGAAAACAAAGAAGCAAACGGTGGCATCTCGTTCTTCTGCAGAAGCACAATATAAAGCCATGACACATGTATTTAGTGAAATTTTTATGGATACGTTGGTTACTTAAGATTTTAAGGTTGGCTCCTACAAAGCAACATCTCTCTTGTGTGACAATCAAGCTGCAAGGCATATTGCTAACAATCCAGTGTTCCATGAGCAGAAAAAACATGTGGAAATGGATTGTTATTTCGCTAGAGAACGTGTTGAGTCCCAAGAAATTTTACAAGTATGCGTCAACACAAAGGATCAGTTAGCTGATATATTCACTAAAGGACTAGGGTCAGACAGGTTGAATGCTCCAACTTGAGAGGGAGTAAAAGATTTGTAAATATCTCCTACGTATTTGTCATTATCTTTCTAGTTTAGTTGGTATCCTTTCCTTATTTCCAGCTATGGATTTGTATTTATACTCAGAATCATTTAATGAAAGATTAAGATTTTATGTTTACCAAATACTTCAATTGGAGAGAGTTAGAATGGAATTGGATTTAATTTGTTGTTGTGGTAGATTGTTGTTTATATAGGTAATTTATTCAAAAAAAAAAATAAATTAGAAAAAAACAGTCGTTGAACGGTCACAAAGGAAAGAAAGAAGAAGGTTTCAAGCGGCTTAAGAAAGCCATTCATTTACACATTTGATGGTACCGCACGAGCTAGGGACAGTGTCGTCGACGGTACCGTTGGTACCACCAACAAACCATTGCACCATTTGTCCGACTCCGTCCACCCTTATGAGAGGTGTTACAAATGACTATGTCAACAAAACAATAATAATATCCAACACAAAATTTTCATGGTAATGGTTGGATGTAGTATTAGGCCATTTCCAATGGATTAAGCCCATGAAGAATGGTATGAAATGCCAAGTAGGAAAGAGAATGTATACATTCACTTCAACTCTTAAAAATTTTATAAATTTTCATTACAATTCTATTAAGTTGATGGTCATTCAACACCACGCTCTCTCTCTTCTATATTATATTCACATTTATTCTATTAAACTCTGCTACAACTTTTATTGTAGATGGACTTAGAGTGAGTGAGCATAATATATGACCTGCCCGTTGGGTATTTAACGGACAAGGCGGGCTTGGGATATATAGATAACAAAATGGATTATTCGAAACTTTAGTCACCATGGCTCGGGATATCTTATTCGTCCAAGCTAGTATCATAGCTTAAAAAAGTTGTTTTTCTTTAATGACAAGTTAAGAAACACAGGGATGACTTCATTAATAGTGGATTTAATGCAAATGCAAGTGATGTTAGAAGACTACTATTGTTCGTTATGAGAACCCAAAAGGGTTATCTTGTCTATTCTATTACTATTAGTTCCCCATTCCATTCTTTTGATATTCTATATATCAATCAGCCCTTTAATACTAAAGTATATGTCAAAAAGGGTGTATGTTTGATGTAAATCATATACAGAGATAGATAGCCTCCATAACCCGTAAGGGTCTCTAGTGAGGCAATTTGCTATGGAAACAATTTACTACAAACAAGTTTTGTGTATTTTTGCCTTTTGTGTGCACAATTTACTCTCTTTCTAGCTAGGATATATCCCAACTTTCTAACTTACCAGTATCGCTGAATTAAAGTCCTTTTAATATTTAACATTAGTTACTTGTATACACCCGTTCATACAGAAACTTATAAACCAAATCAATATGGGTAAATCTTAACCATCATTACTTAATATATCATCAAACTTATCACAATTAAAAGAGCTATCATAACTACTTACATGAACAAATGGAAAGAATAGAAAACAATCAGTATCAAACGTTTAACATAGTATGTTCAGAACTTTAACACAATTGATATTGTGTATTTGCTATGTGTTAAGTGCTTCAAAAGTTACGTACATTTTCAAATCCCTATTTATATGTTATCTATTTAAAACAATTCAAACTCGCACAAAGAAGATACTTAATTCTGGACCACTGCTACCATCTGGATTCATCATGTAATAAGTCTCTGAATCTTTTGATCCGATCACTCGCTCAAAATGTGCACGCATGTACGTTAATTCTCCATCAGTTGACGGAGCTGTTGCAGTAACGGCGGTTGCATTATCACTGGTATTGTTGTCGCCGGCGGTTGGAAGAACGCCGGCACCCATAGATATAGCGTGAAGCAACTGCATAACATACAAGTCATCATCTGTAGGTTCTCTTTTCACACCATAACCCATTTTCCGACCATTACAATACATGGTCCATATGGGTTCATCAACGAGCTTCGTCTTCCCGCTTCGTTTCTCACACTCCATCGCGATCCTAACGAGCCCTAACCCCATTTCTTGGAGTAGTTTCCCCGTCGGCATTGAAAGTTCCAGTAAAAGCACCGGCAAACACCTAGGGTTTTCTTGGATTGCAAGATTGATTCGGGTTTTGCGGTAGCCGAATAGGGTTCCGGTCATCCGGGTTCCTCCGGGGATGTGGTGGTTGTCATGGTGGTTGTGGAGGGATACGGGGAATTTACAGGCGGCGGGGGTTATGATGGGGAATGATCGGAAAACGGAGCGGACACGGCGGAACATTTTTGTTGATTTTGAAGGGTTTTTTCTTGGGGATGATGGTTGAAGGGATACTCCCGGTGACCGGGAAGGTGACGGAGATGATGATGGTGGTGGCGGTGGTGGCGGTGGTGGTTTTCGTGAGCCGGCCATTGGAATAGAAGTGGCGGTCTGATAGAAATTGGTGGTGGTGGAAATGGAGTATATAGAAAGTGGGAAAGGTGTGGGATGCACGTTTTTTTGTATCTTTTTATTTATAAGAAAAAAAGCTTTATCTCCGATTCTCCGTGTAGAATGGTTGACTTCGTTTCAATAAATACATTACTTTAATTGAAATTATTTTTTTATTTCTAATTAAAAAAAACATCTATTAAGCTCGAAAAGTTATACCGTGACTTTGATTTTAGTTTCTTGTAAAACAATACGACACTTATCAAGATGGCAAATGAGCTTAACAGGACGGATTTGATTGATTATTATTAATGAAATGACAATTATTATAAGAAAATTATACAAGTTATGTACTTAATTGGATTGACTTGTAAATATTTATTAAAGTTTTCTAAATAAATATTGACATGAACAAGATTATAATTTTTTTATTTAAATAACAATCATTTTATTTTTCGAAAGTTATTTATTTATCTTTTTTTGTCAATATTAAAAGTCTTAAAATGAATAAAGTTAGGAAGATGATTGCAAAGCAATAAGCAATTGTGGAGATTATTATGTTTTCCATCCCCGAGAGGATTTCTATTGTGTTTAGTATAATATATTTATGGAGTTTTTTTTTTTAAAGAAGGTTGTTTTCTAAAATCATTTGTATAGATGGGATTCTGAATTTGGTTTTTAGATCACGCCCTCTTCCTATTTCCATCAATCCCTTTCAATCTCTCTTCTTTTCATCAATTTACTTTCATCCATCCAGGTCATCATCTTGATTTTTTTAGGCAAAGATATTATTAAAAGCTAGCAATAAGCTAGACAAAAAAACAATTACATTGAAGTAATACACAAAATTATGTCATGCAACCAAACAACTCAATTGACACTAGTTTTACGACATCTACTATTAACCCAAATGAAACTTTGATAAAACACATTATCAAACAACAAACATTTTATTGGCTTAACTTTACCAAAAAAGAACGAATTTCTAAAACACCAAATCGACCAGCAAAGAGTATAAAAAACAGCCTCCGGAAACTCTTGACAAACTGAAGACAAACGCAGCGAAACAACCCAGTCAAACCAATATGGGAAGGAAAACATAGTCGGCATATGAACATTCCGTCATCTGCATAAAAGTTTCAGTAAGTCGATGGCCAAGTTACACTCAAAGAACACATGGGTATCAGTCTCCACTTCCTTAAGAGTAAAATTGAATTAATCTTCATCCCTCTGTAAGACATAAGACAGATTATGTTGAGTAGGTAATATGTTCAAAAAAAAGAGCTAAACAAAAACATTACTTTAATAGTAGTGAGGCGGCACCATCTAGTCGTTGAACCAAACCCAATAAGAAAATGCTTATCAATTTCCAATCTCGCAGAACTCAAGAAAAAAGAATCGGAATGTAACGCCTGGTTCCCAAGTAAATTCATTGAATTCTAAATGTTTAATTAAATTGCATTTGGGTTAATTACGATGGGCGTAATTAGGCTATGTTGGGCATACCTGGAAAGACTTGGACTCGATGTTTTCCCCCTAGTACGATGGACGTACCTATGGTACGTTGGGCATACTCGAGCCAGGGGCAAAACCTAAATTTTAGGGTTTGGACCTTATTTAAGCACCTTATAACCCCAATACCTCTTCTATGATAAGCCTCCTTCGTCCCAAAGCAGCTTCCACGAAACCCTAATCCCTTTTTAGAGAATATTGAGTCATGTGTGTGTGTGTTTTGGTGTGTTTTTGGTGCATCTTGAAGAGAGAATAACCCTTTGGAGAAGCCCTTGTTTATTTGAATCTTCTATTCACCTTCGTCATCTTCTAGAAGGTATAAAGTCTCAATCTTGGTGATTCTTTGTTTAGATCTAGACTAGTTAGGGTTTTTGGCATATTTTGGTCCCTTGAGTTGATTCATGTGAGTATAAGTCACTCCAGAAGTTTAGAATAGTAGATCTTGATGTTTTTAAGGTCCCTTGTTCATAAAAATGGCATCTTGATGGATTTAGCTCAACCATGCAAGATTTTATAGTCATATTATGAAGTTAGAGTGTTAGAAATAGATGTTGGGCCTCTTTGAGCCATGCAAAAGCATCAAGTTGATGACTTTATCATTTAAGACGTTTCCCAAGAAGTAGATTTGTTATTTGGACGTTTGGACTTAAGGCATTAAGTGCGTAATAGGAGTTTTGGCAACCAAGGGTGTACATAGGCGTATGCTCTGTGTAACGCGTTTCAGCCCCGTTTTTCCTTGCTGTGAGAGCTTGTGTAAGTCCCTAATCTGCTTGTGTATCAATCAGATCCGTTTGATGGTGCGGAATCCCAATCAAACGGATGATGTCAGATCAAATAGAAAAAGAAGGAGAAGAAGAAGATGATGAATCTTGTATGTATTGATATGAATGAAGATCCGGATACAAGATTCACACACACTAACACACACTCTCTTTTCTCTCTCTATAGAACACCTTCAAATGCACACACTTAAGCTCCTCTTGTTCTGTTCATCCATCTACTCCTCACCCCTAACACCTATATATATATATACGACCGTAAACACAACCGTAAAGTTCTCTCTCTATAGAACGGCCGTAAACACAACCGTAAACACGTATACGACCATAAACACCAAGCTGTTTACGGTCCTAGACATATAATTACATTTTCCTAGAAAAGCAAAGTATAAACCATATTTTTGACCCAACAATCTCCCCCTTGGTTTATAGCTTTCTTTTCTTTTCTTAATTTGACCCAACAAGCTCCCCCTAAAAAGTAGCTGGCTTTTCTTGTCAATCTTCATCGAGAGCTTGGCTTCAGCATTAATCTTCAAATTCTTCACGACTTCAAGATGAACTTGATGAATCTTCAATGAATGGCTTCATCTTGAGCAGTTGGGATTTTCAGCAGAATTTGGCTTTGAACGCACGTCAGGTGAGGAGGCATGATGTACTGATTCTTGAAAGATAGCGCTTTCAGCTTGAGAATCTTCAGAGAGAACATCAGAGAGAACTAATCTTCTGGATCACTTCAGCAGGTACAAGATAGCAGCAGACTGATTGAGGAGGCTTCAATGCAATCCGTCACATAATCTTCAATTTCAGCTTCACCTTGCTTCTGGGGTTGAAGGATTAAATGTCGAAAGAATAATCTTCATTTCTTGCTCCTTCGAATGCAAATTCTTCGATGATCATGGATGAAGCCTTGGCTCAGAAATCTTCGACACAAACTTCCATGAGTTTCATCTTCACCTGAATTCACTATTCAAGACAAAACAAAACTAAAAGAAAAAATTTAGCACGCAATATTTTTGGATTTTCATATTTTCTGAAAAAGAAATAAAACAGAAATAACACTATTTTTTTGTTTTTTTTTATTTTCTGATTTTTGTTTGGTTTTTAAAATTTTTAATTCTCCCCTAATATTTAAATTAGAAGAAAACTATGAACAAATTTAACAAAAATAAAAATGATATCTAACTTTAAGAGTGATTTGGGATCAAAGTTTTTAGACAGCCTTTATCCGTTTATCAGTACCTCTCCTTTCATGAATAGATCTGGTCAATCGTCGGTATTGTGGTCCACTTAAACACGAGAGATTGTGACAAATTAGGACATACTATAAGTGACAAGACAATGTGATCCTAAGTTCCTAGATAATATTCCTTAAGGACCATTCAGCTGACGACGACCAAAGATATTGTTGTCCACCTAAATTGAGCAGCGAGATCTACAGACAACCTAATGATTGTTCAATTTTAAATGTACTAGAACATGTTTCCCGCTTCCTGACATACCCCAATAATCAGGAACTTCCAAAGTACTCCTTACTTTAGGTGAGCAGACAATTATTATGAGAGAAGTCAGATTTAGAATGCATATGTTGTACACCCAGGTCGGATCTCTTCCAATCTCGCAGAGGGTGAAACATATGACTAACCAGATTTAGAGGGATTGAGAAGTAGAATGGTGCATATGCTGTGTACCAGGTCGGATGTATTTCAATCACGCAAAGGAGACAGCATATGACTAACAGACAGGAAGAATTGCATAGATAGAAGATGCATAGAAATAGAGTTGCATATGTTGCAGTCCAGGTCGGATGTATTTCAATCACGCAGAGGAGGCAACATATGACTAACAGACATAAAGAAAGAAAATAATCTTCTACAGACCTATTTTATCGAAATTCCCCAGTCGCCCCATCAATATCGGAATTAAGGACAAAGTTCGTACATCGAGGAAGAGTTAAACCACAGTTCTACATACGGATTACTTTAGTGTGACCGGTGGATTATCATGTATATCTCCCTGCTCAACCTATCTGAGCGTCGTATTGTCAGGCTAAATGGATCTATTTAGGTCAAGATTTTTCAAGTCTATAGATTCCTTAAGTTCATTAATGCTTAGTCAAGTCCATTTTAATCTCTCGTGCCTACCAGCGCATCGAACACAGAGCCTAGACAATTCAGATTCAGTTCCTTACACAGATTCAGATTGCCTGTTATCACATGATTATATCACTTCCCAAAACATCTCCCTCAAACTCATTTCATAATCAACATATTTTTGGATTTTCTGATTTTCTAATTTTTGTTTTGTTTTTATTTCTCCCCCTAAATTTGTGCATAGGAGAGAAACGAAAGTAAATGCGCAAATTTAAACTATCCTAAAACAAAAATTAGTCTTTAAAGCGAATCAGCTTAAGAAAAACTCAGGAGTATAGAGAAGAAAACTCAAACCGTAAGTCACCGATTGAATTTGCATCCAGAAGGTCTGAGAACAGCACGCGTAATCTCAGAACAGATCCGAAAATTCTTCATGTCATTAAGCACAAACCCCACGAGTGATCCCTTCCTTTCTTCCCTTCCCGCAAAGGACACATACTCTCAAACAAAATTCTAAGTGTTGTACAGTTGAGAGATGCCTCCTATCATGTGCCTGGAACAGCCACTACCAACAAACCGAAGTCTGATGATATGCCTCCAT